GCTTCGCGAACGCTTCGCGAACGCTTTAACAACGATCCCTGGTCAACTATTGGACCCCTGGACCCCAACCTTTAAAACGGGAACCCTTCTGCTGCGCATTCGGGAAAAAGAACTGGCAAACCTGCAACCCCACGCAACCATTGTAAGACCCTAGTAATGCGTAGAAATTAAAAGCTTCCTTATGCCTGAACCGTCCAGGTTTTTCGCTGCGCAGAGCCTCGCGGCCAGGGCCCGGCTCTGCGCCGAAGAGGACTCGGAGATCTGGCCGCAGGCTGCAGTAGAGGGCACAGAGAAAACAACGAAACAAACAAAGACAGGAAGAGAGAGAGTGAGAGAGTGTACGTGTCCGTTTTGGCTCAAGTGCTGTGCTTGAGGGCCTGTGCCGCCCTCTTGTGCGGGGGGGAGACGAGGAGTTAAGCTGAAGCTGTTCACTTCGGGGGAGCCCTCTCGTTTCTCCCAGTAGTGTTTGAGTCTCCTCGCCCGTTGCCGCTTTGCTTAACAGGCCCTCTGCGTTTTTGCGCCTCTCCGGATCCCGGCCGCGGCCCTTCCTCGGAAGGTGGCCCGCCAGGAGGGGGAAGGAGCATACTTTTTGCCTGTGGTCTCCCAAGTGATCTTCGCGAACTACCGGGGCACGTTTACTTCGATGGCGAGCTCTAACAGCCCCAGCAGGGGGCGAAGGGGGAGGAAGCAGAGGTCTCCTGCCGATAGGACCTTTCTGCCACAAGTCACACGATGTGGAGGAGACCTGCTACAAGTACATGATCTTCATGGGTACAGCCAGCAGCCCGGGGAGATTATGAGACCTCCAACGTGCCAACGAGGGGGGGGATGCCACAGCAGCACGTGCAGACGTCCCCGAACCACAAGGGGGGAACCAGGACAGCGCCAAAGGGAAAGTGAAAAACCAATGGGGAGCAGCACAACAAGTCCAAGCATACATGCGGGCCAGCTGACTGAGCCGTGAAGGAGCAGCATGAAGTGAGGAGCGCGTGGAAAAGTTTTGGGGGAGAGCGAAGCGTGAGGTGTGTTTGTTGTCTCGGTTATTTTGTGGTTGTTGCCACTTTTTGGAAGGCCTCCTCAGAAATTTTCGTTCATGCACAACTGGTAAATCCCTTCGTACAAGGTTGAAACACCGGGGGATCCACTTGTACTTGTGACCTGCTCTGTTTGATGTCAAGGTGTTGTTTTGAACCGTGGACCACCGCGGACCGTGATGATATTTTGCCGGGGGACTTGCAAGAAGTACCATACTGTACTCTACTTCCTATGCCACTGCTGTCGCTACTCGACAAAGCCTAGTCCGTTTTGCTGCATTTCACTGCAAACTCCCGTCACTGGCCGACGATGTCTGATCCGCCTACCACCTATGTTAATTCAATGCCCATGCCCTCCCACGAAGGACCAATTCAACAGGATTTTCGTGCTTTGAAGTCCATCTGTGCCGTCTGCATGGGGGCTCTCAGGGTTTCAGATCATTGCAAGCCCCGTGGTGATAGCCATAGGGGCGCGGTGATGAGGCCGGGAGGCGGGTTGGGGGTCCCAGTGTTCGGGGTTGGGGGCTTGCAACATGAAGCCTGGCCCAGACTTAGTCTTCTTTTGCCACGGTCAATGAAGACCCCAATGCCAACCATAAAACAGTGGGTGGTTGGGCGGGCTTAAAGCCTGAGGGTCGAATCGTCGACCCCGAAGCCCAGCAGAAAGAAAGAAAAGTGTACATGTGTTTGCGTGTGTGCACATGTGTGTGAAGTTTTTTTTTTGTGTGTGTGTGTGTGTGTGTGTGCGTGTATGCCTGCTACCAGTACTACCACTACCACTACGACGACGACTACCGCTACTACTACTACCACCACCTCTACTTTGGCTACTACTACCTTACTACTACTACTACTACTACTACTACTACTACTACTACTACTACTACTACTACTACTACGACAAACTACTACTACTACTACTGCTACTCCTCCTCTAACTACTACCAGCACCACTACTACTATTATT